ACAGTCAGATCAATGGAACACAATAGAGAACCCAGAAATGGACCCACAAATGTATAGACAACAAATCTCTGACAAAGCAGAGAAGAATATCCAATGGAATAAAGACAGTCTCTTCAGCAAGTGGTGGCTGGGAAAACTGGACATCAACATGCAGAAAAATGAGCCTGGACCACATTCTTACACCATACACAAAAATAAACTCAAAATGGATGAAATACCTAAATATAAGACAGGAAACCATCAAAATCCTAGAGGAGAAGTCAGGCAAAAACCTCTTTGAGCTTGGCTGTGGCAACTTTTTACTCAACATGTCTCTGGAGGCAAGGGAAACAAAAGCACAAATGAACTATTGGGATCTCATCAAAATAAAAACTTCTGCACAGTGAGGGAAACAATCAGCAAAACTAAACGGCAACTGACAAAATGGGAGAAGATATTTGTAATGACAAATCAGATAAAGTGTTAGTATCCAAAATCTATAAAGAACTTAGCAAACTCAACAACCAAAAAAACAAATAATCCAGTGATGAAATGGGCAAAATACATGACTAGTCACTTCTGCAAAGAAGACATCCAGATGGCTAACAGATACATGAAAAAATGCTCAATATCACTCATTATCAGGGAAATACAAATAAAAACCACAATGAGATACCACCTCACACTCATAAGAATGGCTAACATTAACAACTCAGGCAACAAGAGACATTGGCAGGGATGCAGAGAAAGAGGATCTCTTTTGCACTGTTGGTGGGAATGCAAACTGGTGTAGCTGCTCTGGAAAACAGTATGCAGGTTCCTCAAAAAATTAAAAATAGAACTACCCTATTACCCAAAAATTGCACTACTAGGTATTTATCCAAGGGTAACAGGTATGCTGTTTCAAAGGGGCACATGCATCCCAATGTTTATAGCAGCACTATCAATAATAGCCAAAGTATGGAAAGAGCCCAAATGCCCACTGATGGATGAATGGATAAAGAAGATGTGGTATGTATATATATATATATATATATATATATATATATATACCCACACACACGCACCGTGGAGTATTACTCAGCAATCAAAAACAATGAAACGTTGTCGTTTGCAACTATGTGGATGGAACTGGAGGGTATTATGCTAAGTGAAATTAGTCAGTCAGAGAAAGACAAATATCATATGACTTCACTCATATGAGGACTTTAAGATACAAAACAGACTAACATAAGGGAAGGGGAGCAAAAAAATAATATAAAAGCAAGGAGGGGGACAAAACCTAAAAGACTCTTAAATATGGAGAACAAACAGAGAGTTACTGGAGACTTTGTGTGAAGGGAGATGGGCTAAATGGGTAAGGGGTATTAAGTAATCTACTCCTGAAATCATTGTTGCATTATATGCTAACTAACTTGGATGTAAATTTAAAAATAAACTAAATAAACATATATATATAAACATTTAAAAACATCCTAAAAAACTATTTAATTATTACAGATTACTTAATAGAAGGGAAAATTAAATATGAGCTGTTTCATTTTGAAAGAACACAATCAACTGTTAAACATTTCAAAAGTTTAACTTGAGAAAGTTTACTTTTCCTATATCAACTATATTTTTAAGTAAAAGATTTCTAATTATTTTGGGGGAAAAAAAGGAAAGTGGGACAGCTTTACATCATAAGGTTAGCACTTAGTTAGAAACCACTCTCAAAACTAGAACTGCTTGTATTGCCTTTAGAGGTTCTGACCAAGTTGATATCCTGAGAATAGCTAATATAGTCAAAGAAGAATTGAGTATTTCTCTCAGATATTTATCTAAAAAGCAGGGAATACCTTAATAGTCTTAAGTCAAGCTTGCAAACAACGTTTGTCCATATTCCTCTTCACTAAAGCCATAGATCTCTCATCTTACTTGCTCTTTTTTTCCTCAAGATTAAACTAAACCAAGGAAAAAAGATCTTCATGATGTATATAATGGAAAACTGAAAGGAATTCAGAAATCATATAATATAAACCTATTAAACTGCAGATAAGAGAAAAGATCACAGGGTGGAAGTGATTTCCTCAAGATCACACAATTAATCCTCCACCATAGCCTGAAGTATGGTCCAGGTCTTGTGGCTATCAGTCCTACAAAGTTTACACCATGTTCATTGTCTTTCTCCATGCAAGGATATTCTCTTATTTTGATAAGACATTAATGAAAGTATATAAAATTTATTAATTCAAATCAACCAATATTTAAAACACATTGAACTCTGTATAGCATGAAATACAAAAAGAATAAGACTTGGTTATTGCTCTTTGATTCTACTGGAAATGAGTTGGGAATAATGAGGAAGTTTAAATTGAAAAACCAGAGAGATGACTATGACACAAAACAAGAAATTAAAATTATCAAGAACAAACAAAATACTGCAGAACTTTAATAGAGAAAAATGCTAAATTATATTGAGAGGAACAGGAATGAATTTTTGTTTGATTAGAAATTAAAAGAAGAAGCACTATTACTATCTTCATTTGATAGAAGACACCAGCCAAGGGACACTTGTAGATCACCAGCTCTACCCAGACCACGTTTACAGAGCACAAAGTGTATAAGTCATTCTAGTATGGAGGTAGTTCTAATGCAGCAGCAATAAATAGTATGATATTGGGACCTTGTGTTATCAGATTATCTCTGTATCTTTTATTTCCCTCATTCACTGGAGACTGAGCATGTTACAGGTTCAATGGAGGCTAAGGGCTGAAGGAAAGAGATTTACACACACACACATATTCATGGACTTCAAATGACCCAAATAAAAGATCAAAGCAACTCCTGAATTAAATAATTAAAATAAAAAAATCATATACCCATAGTTTTACTTTTTTATCTGACGTCTACCCACCCAATCACCCAGATGAGAATGGTAGAATCTAATTTTGGCAGAAGCTGCTGTCAGAGACAAGAAACTTCTAGGAAAATGAAGAAAAAAAAAAGAAAGGTAAAGAGTGAAATTATTGAAAGCCTACTATGTGCAAGGCTCATAATTTCTAAATAAATAGTAGAAGACATCTTTGAATCACAAACTTGAGGAAATACTACACTGTTTCCCAGACAATGTGACATTTACTTACTTGTACATGTAGAGTGAACTAAATTATAATTGCACAGCTACCATGGAAATGTATAACTAGTACATTAGCCTGGTAATGTTATACTTCTCATATATGGGTCTTAGAAATTCATAAACATTCTTTCTCTTTCTACACTAGGAAAAAATATAAGTTTTGTCTAAACACAAAACTGTGACAGAGCCAAAGTTAATTTTCTCCATAAATGAGTGGAATCATGTAATTTTAGGTTCAGAGATTTTTTTCACTTGATATTTGGTCAGTATACCTTTATTGATTACAGAGATCTAGGACAAGCTAAGACAATAAAAAAAAAGGTTACTGAGTAAAAGCCAACTCAGTTTGACTAATCCTCCACCTGCAGCTCATACTTCATCCAGACTGCTAGTAGTAGGTTACCTATATCAACTCCTTACCCAGAGAAGGAGGGAAATTCAGAAAGGGAAAAGAAGTTGGAAGAGATCTAAAAAATGATTATGTGAATACAGGGTGGATTCAAAAAACAATATTATAGCTGTAGGTTGAGATTCCTAGTTTTAAAATTTATCTGTTTTAGATGAATGGATCAAGAAGATGTGGTTTATCTATACCATGGAATACTACATGGCAATGAGAAAGAATGAAATCCGGCCATGTGTAGCAACGTGGATGGACCTTGAGGGTGTTATGCTGAGCGAAATAAGTCAGGCAGAGAAGGACAAATATCATATGTTTGCACGTATAGGAGGATTAGGAGGAACTTGACGGAGGACCAAGGGGGAGAAGAAGGGCGGAAATGGTGGGGGAAAGGGAGAGAGGCAAACCATGAGAGACTCTTGAATGCTGACAAAAACTGAGGACTGATGGATGTGGGGGGGAGGGGGGATGGGCATGGAGGAGGGCACTTTGGGGATGAGCACTGAGTGTTATGTGGAAACTAATTTGACAATAAACTATTTATAAAAAAAAATTTATCTGTTTTATATTTTTAAATTTCCGTTATTTTCCTTGTGATTTCCTTTTTTTTTTCCAGCAGAGCTCTTTACAAAGGCCCAGTGTGCTTATATTTGCTAAGATAAACCAGAAGAAGGTGTTTATTTTGTTGGTACTTAGACCATAGATAAATGAAAAAATGGCCAGCCTCTGTAGTCCTTGCAGACAGAGATGAAAATTGCCATAGGGGAATACAAATTTAGGGGGGGAAAGTATCCAGGTTGCTACTGCTTCACGAAAGTCCTTTGTTCATTTCTTGGAGATTTGTTATACTTTGGTAGGTTTTCTTATACGGTTTAATTGAAGGGAAGAAGCATATACTCATGAAAAGTTAACTGTACAAGCTACAAAACAGTTGATTTCTGCAGGTATATAATATATGCCAAGTTAGTGATATAAACGATAAGTGCTATTCTGAGATTTTAGGGAGAGGAATCCAGGGTCCTTTGTTATTATTCCTTCAAAGAAAATTGTTCCTAAAGCATTCCAATCAGATATACTTAAATATTTTTAATGTTCTAACTCTTCTTTCAGGGAACTAGATCTTCAAATATGAACTTCCAAGTTATTTCCCCTTTGAACTTAATAACAAATGGTTTAGAAGAGAAAATGGGGAAAATATAATGATTTCATAGAGAGAGGAGTATTTTTATGATACTGTGTTCATAGATACAGAAGCTTCCTGCACACAGCAACAAATATCTGTGATCAGCCCTGGCCTGTAGTCCAAGTTTCTCCCCTGGGGATGTAAAATTGAATGGAAGGAAAAGAAGGAATCATGGAATCCAATAACTAGCCCTAAATCTGTCCTAAAGCTCTGATGTCCCATAACACATCCTGGATCTGTACTTAAGGCCACTAAGCTCCCATGACCCTTCTGGACTTCTTCTAAGGTCATTAACTTCTTTTTCAATCTTATGATTTCAGCTTAGTCTTCATCTCAAATTACATTATAAGAAGCACTGACCACTAACTCGGAACATTTGTGAAAAGCACTGCAGTGCCAGAAAGAGGTATGGCTCCATTTTCTGAATCAATCTTATTTCTTCAACTTGCAAATTATCTTAACAAAGTAACTATTTTGTCACCTGCATCAAAAATTAATTTTATGTATGTAAACTGCTTGTTTATATTAACTAATTAATAGCCCATTTGCTTTGTTCTAAGATAGTCTTTACCATACTGTGTTGTAACCTCACCACACTTCTGAGTCATCACTCCTCTCCACGAACAGATTATGAGCTGCTTTCCTTAAAGCATGTTTGGGATTTTAGGTATCTATGTGTCCTTATAGCATAAGTCTCATTATTGGCAAATTGTAGTAAGTTCTATAAAGACGAATTAAATGCTGTTTAAGACAAGCAAAGCCATCCTTTGTGAAATGAGTGGCTTAGACTAAGTGATCTCTATCCCTTCAGGATTCATTACTTGTTTGAAAACTTTATAATTTTCTTTTTATGACCTAATATAGGTCATTGACTTGACTTAGTTATAAATAAACAGCTGAAACTAAATACAAACATTACTAGGAAAGCTTAATTTGGTCTGTAAGGACTGGAAAGTTTATTACTGGAACAAATGACCATCTGTTTTTCATTAAGTTATTTATCAGTTTTATTTGGCATCTTTTATTCAAAGATCTGGGAATTTAAAATTTCTAATATTTAATAGAAAAATAAATGAGTATTCTGTGTCAAGACATGAATGTTGTTTAATCTTAGAGTTACCTTTATTATTTAGTTCTTTCCTTAATAGTTTAGGAAACAACTTTACTTTAGGCTCAGAGCCTGGAAAGATTTTAAATGATATTGGAATGCAAAGATAACTCTAAGTGGTTTTGAATTATATATAATACCTTAAGGGACACCTGGGTGGCGGCACCTGGGTGGCTCAGTCAGTTAAGCGTCCAACTCGTGGTTTCGACTCAGGTCATTATCTCAAGGGTCATAAGTTTTGAGCCCCGCATCGAGCCCTGCTCTGACAGTGCAGAGCCTACTTGGGATTCCCTCTCTCTCTGCCCCTCCTTTGATCATTCTCTCTCTCAAAATAAGTAAATAAACTTAAAAAATAATACTTTAAAATAATAAACTTGTTCATCATTCATGTATTTATTCACTCAATCAACATTTATTGAGCACTTATTGTCAAGGTACATATGTGTTAGCCCTGTGTAACATGCCTTCTTATAGATCAACAAGATAGTCTGTAAGGGAAGATAGTCTGTAAGGGAAGACAACATATACATATAAATCACTGATCTGAAAGATAAATTTAAAGTTCTCTAAAGAGAAAATGATAGAAAGTACTATGGAAGGAGGATAAGGAAAGTCTTAGGCAAGAAGGGTGTAATTTGAGCTAAAGGGTGAATAGTTTTTGCATACACATAATGAAAGAAAGAGCATTTCAGGAAAAAGAAATACCATGAAAAAAGATAGTCAGACAGGGAAACAAGTAACACCTGTCTCTAGCATAATAAAATAGTTGTTTCACTGAAATACAGTGTGTGTAGGAGCACCTGGGTGTCTCAATTGGTTAAGTGTCCGACTCTTGATACTGGCTCGGGTCATGATCTCTCATTTTGTGAGTTTAAGCCCTGCATAGGGCTCTGGGCTGACAGCCAGAGCCTGCTTGGGATTTTTTCTCTCCCTCTCTCTGCTCCTCTCCTGTTCATGCTCTCTCGCACATTCTCTCTCTCTCTCTCTCTTGCTCTCTCTCTCTCTATCAAAATGAAGAAATAAACATTTTTAAAAATAAATATAGGGTGTGTAAAAAGGAAAAGCGAGAGTAAAGTTAGGAAAATTCAGTTGCAACTAGACTGTAGAGATCCTTAAATATCAGGCCAAGAAGTTTGGATTTTATTCTGAAAGCACTCAGTGACCATTGAAAGTTTTAGAACAGAGCATGACATAATTGTAACTCCAATATATGGAAATTATTCTGGAAAGAAGGATGTAGTGAGTAAAGATGGTGGTAGGAAAGACAAATGGTAATTATCTAATACCTTCAAGTGCAGTTCTCAAAACAAAAGTTAATATCAAAAATCTCATCAGCACCATCTAGTGCCTCAGCAAAACACTGCCCAATTTGTGGAAAACCTAGTAATAGGGCTAACAAAAAAAGACTAGATTAAGTTTAGGTAGTTTCCCTTTTTCCCATAATTGGACCTGAGCTCAGGGAACCAATAGTTAGAGGGGGGTAACTGGGAAAAAATACTGAGAAATAAATCAGAAGTTGGGCATAGTCGCCTCATTTTTCTCTTTGATCTTAGATATCCACCGTCAGAATGATTCATCCTCATTTTTTTTTGGTCATATACCAACAGTTCTTGGTGAAAAATAATGACATTTTTAGTTTAAAAAAATGGAAAAACTGGTCAAATTGTTATCAGTAGTAAACCCAAGAAGCTATATCCCACCTACAACCACTACCATAGCTATCTGTTTCTGTATTTATAATTCAGAGACAAGATCAGTCCCCTCCACTGTTGGGACTTCATATTCAGTCAGTGTTTCCACCTTACAAACCCTAATTCTTTCTTACTAGGGAACAGAAGCTGTGTAAAAGTCCAAGAAATAAGACTTAAATAAAAGATTATCCACCATATTATATATTGATGAGTTGCTCCCACTTTCTTAAAAAAATAAAAGAATCTGGAAGAACACTAGAAATCATTACTTCCACATTGTCCCATCCCTAGCTCTATCTGATCAGAGCTTGTTTACTGCACTAATTGACTGTCTTGATATAGCTTAACTAAATTAGACCAAGTAACAACCTCTTGGTATAAAGAGAAATGATCATGTATTGTTGGATAGTATGGGTTTAAGAGTGAGTCTAGGAAGATAACAGGGATAAATATTTACAACAATACCCTTACCCAGAAAGTATATTTCAACTAGTTATGCTATATCTTTCCTCAGAGCCTTAACTTATGGTGCAGATTTTAGAAACGTGTTTTACCTCTGGAACTTTTTTCTCTCATTAAAACAACTAGATGAGCATCAACCAGCAGATATTACCTAGGAAGCCTTCTTCTTGAAGAAAATAAGCATTTTCATATAATTGTATTCCCCAAGTGAATTCAATGCTCTTCCAATAGATAGATGATGATAGATGGATAGCTACAGGTAGATAGATGATAGATGAAAATTTATATTTATGAAACTACTATCTTTAAAGATTTTATCTAGCATAAAAACGAACTCAATTAAAAGGAAGATTTACAGAATAGTACTAGAGTAATATGACTTAAAGAAAAGCAGAGATGTTTTAGCTAGGTCTTGAAGATTAAGAGTAAGTCCACTAGGCAAACTTGGATTGAAAAAAGAGAGGAAAAGAGTTTTCTTGGAGCCTGTAGGACCCAAATTCTTCTCTTGGAGGCAAGGTACAGCTAAATCCCTCTTCATTTCCCCACCACCTGTTTTTCCTACCATGGTCAAAAAGTATATATAATGACACTACAAAGTGAAATCTTAGTTCTTCTTGTAACTTATTGTCTGGTAAAAATTGACAAGAAAAAAATATATATATAATGTATGTATTTTAGGCACCAAGCAAACATTCCTAGATAAACATGGATGGAGGTGGAAATCTGACAGTTTCTTCTGCCAGTAATATGTATGTATGTATGTATGTATGTATTTTAGGCACCAAGCAGACATTCCTAGAGAAACATGGACGGAGTTGGAAATCTGACAGTTTCTTCTGCCAGTAATAACACGTGCAATGACACAATTGATGACTTCCGCAATCAAGTGTATTCCACCCTATATTCTATGATCTCCATTGTGGGCTTCTTTGGCAATAGCTTTGTGCTCTATGTCCTCATAAAAACATATCATGAGAAGTCAGCTTTCCAAGTATACATGATTAACTTAGCAGTAGCAGATCTACTGTGCGTGTGTACACTGCCTCTCCGTGTGGTCTATTATGTTCACAAAGGCATTTGGCTCTTTGGTGACTTTTTGTGCCGCCTCAGCACCTATGCCTTGTATGTCAACCTCTACTGTAGTATCTTCTTTATGACAGCCATGAGTTTTTTCCGGTGCATTGCAATTGTTTTCCCAGTACAGAACATTAATTTGGTTACTCAGAAGAAAGCCAGATTTGTGTGTGCTGGCATTTGGATTTTTGTGATTTTGACCAGTTCTCCATTTTTAATGTCCACATCTTACAAAGATGAGAAAAACAATACCAAGTGCTTTGAGCCTCCACAGGATAATCAGACTAAACATCATGTTTTGATCTTGCATTATGTGTCATTGTTTGTCGGATTTATTATTCCTTTTGTTATTATTATTGTCTGTTACACATTGATCATTTTAACCTTACTGAAAAATTCAATGAAGAAAAATCTATCAAGCCGTAAAAAAGCTATAGGAATGATCATAGTCGTGACAGCTGCCTTTTTGATCAGCTTCATGCCATATCATATTCAACGCACCATCCACCTTCATTTTTTACACAATAAAACTAAACCCTGTGATTCTGTTCTTAGAATGCAAAAGTCAGTGGTCATAACCTTGTCGCTGGCTGCATCAAATTGTTGCTTTGACCCTCTCCTATATTTCTTTTCAGGGGGGAACTTTAGGAGAAGGTTGTCTACATTTAGAAAGCATTCTTTGTCCAGTGTGACTTATGTACCTAAGAAAAAGGCCTCTTTGCCAGAGAAAGAAGAAGAAATATATAAAGAATAATTTAAACCTATAGCTAATGCAAATCAATGGAAAGATTTTCCCAAATAAGTATTATCTCAAATTATTTACACTAAAATTAAAAATTTCCATTAATAATTTACAAATACTGAACTGAATGTATGCCTATAAATATATCTCATTTATGAATCCACACTATTAGAAATTGTAAAGATATTTTAAGTGTTAAAAATTTGGTCTAGAACTATGAACTAAATTATAAATGTTTTTTTGATCATTCACCAAAATTTGAAGAATATTTTTGTCTTGGCATTGTAAAGAAAATGGAACTGAGATCAAAGTTTTCTCCCTCACATAAAAACTTTATAAAGGATATAGCCTTTAAAGATACAAAATGAGCAAATGGTCCCAAATTATACTAACATATCCCATGAATGTCATCAGATGAGAACTGGAATAACCAAGGGGCTACATAAAATGTTCCGTCACCCTCTTCCTTTGTAATATTGACTGACTAGGCAGAGTAGGGCCATGTTTTTTCCAAATAGAATATGCAAGTGCTAGAACAGCCTAATATCCAACTAAAATGGCCCTAAAGTCCCCTGCAATATGCAATCTGGAAACTGAAGAATATAAGAATAATATGAACTGGTCAAAAACCAGTTTGTGTCCAATTTTCTTCTGCTCCTAACCCCAGGCCCTCAAAAGAGAATGGTGGAGTTTTTGTGGTTTATTAACATCATTATAGGTAATTATTTCCCTATATGACATACAACTCTTCCTTAAGAAACTAGACAACTGGCACTCCCATAGATGAACAACAGTAATTTAAAATTTATCTAAAAAGAGAAGGGGTTCTACATGCTTATTACTGGGATCAAAATTAGCTACAGTAGGTTTCTGAATAAAAATTTGAATGTTGATATTACAAATTGTTTTTAGAAGTACTGATATTTATATAACTATGTCAGAGATTTTGCTCTATGATATACATTTTTGAGAAGTTAATTATGTTTTAATATTATTTTATACTTTTTACTTCTTTATTGGCATGTTGACAGGCATATCAAGGATATGTTTACAGTGGGTTTTATCTTACAGTGAAAGCTTTGTTCTTAAAACACAACAACTTGATTATAACTGAATTATAATATTCATGGGCAAGGTTTTGTTGAAGTGTGGTCTGTTCCTTTATTCTGTGTTTCCAAAGGGACATTACCCAGAGGAAATAAATGATAATGGTGAAGAAGAAAGTTATGAAAGGAGAAGTTCTATCTGAACCTACTATGTGTATGTTATTTCTATTTCTCTTCTAATGTTGCAACCCTTTAGGAAACCACTCAAAACAGAAAGAGGACTTCTATGACATAGTAATAACTGGTGTCCATTTATTTTTATTTTTAACATACCTAAGTTTTAGCAGTATCTACACTTTTATTTTATACCATCCTTTGTTGAGACAAGGATGAAAATACTATTTATCAAAAAAAGTCCTCATTTCGGGAGGGAGAGATTATCCCAAGTAGGCTCTGCACCTTCAGCAGGAGCCCTACTCAGGGCTCATACTCGCCAACCTGGAAATCGTGATGTGAGTCGAAACCAAGAGCCAGATATTTAACCAACTGAGCAACTCAGGTACCCCTGGAATCATAATTTTAATTTAATTTTAAGTCCTTCTACAACTACTGTGGAAGCAAAACAAAGGATATAATGTTACACAACTGTGAAGTGGGAACATAAATATCCCTTATGGAGAGGGTATTTTGTCAGGTTTACAACTTACCTTTAAATGGTTCAAACACACACACACACACACACACACACTCTTTCTCTCTTTCTCACCAATGTTCACACACATATCTCCAAATATACAAAGTATCTGGGACAAAATATTAACTGGTAAATTGAGGTAATAGTATATTGTGGATAATCACCATCTTATTCTTTTTTACTTTTTAGCAGAATTTTGAGAATCTTCTTCATTCAAAGTTGGGAAAAATTAAAACAAGTTTAAACCATATTTAAACAATATTTGTATTATGGGGCGCCTGGGTGGCTCAGTTAACCATCTGGGTCTTGGTTTTGGCTCAGGTCATGATCTCACAGTTTCGTGGGTTCGATCCCTGTGCTGGGCTCCGCGATGACAGTTAGAGCCTGCTTGGGATTCTCTCCCTCCCTCTCTCTCTGTCCCTCCCCAACCTGTACTCTGTCTCTCTCAAAATAAATAAATAAACTTAAAAAAATTTTTTAATCAACAATATTTGTATTATGTATATAAAGTAAATGCTCACTGTGTATCTCCACAACAAATCTGTAAATTAGGTATTATTTCTACTCTCATATTATAGAGAAAGAAAATAAAACCTGGAAAGGCAAAAAAAAAAAAAGTCCTCATTTCTCAAGTACTAAGCTTTCTGTTATTCAGTAAGTATATTGTGGTAGAAGAGCACTAAATTGGAAGCTAGAACACCTGGTTGTTAATCATGTCTCTGTTACTTACAAGTGGTGTAACTTTAAGCAAGTGACATGGGTTCTGATCCTCAGCTTCCTCATTTGTAAAGTAAGAATAATAATACTTCTTCCTTATTACAGGGCATTTTTGAAACTCAAATGTGATCATAACATACATACATATGTTAACATACAGATGTTAAAGTTTTACTTTTAAATAAGTTTAAAGTATATAGATGGTTTTGTTAAATATGATTCATATTTATTATATGGACTCTAAATTTTGAAAGAATTAGAACAAAATATAGGCATAAGGACATTCTAATGCACATAAAAGAAACTTGTGTATTACTTATTCTCACCTCTAGGTGTTTTCCTGTTTTCACTTCACCTAGCAGTCCCATTTTCTCCCACACAGAAACATACCATAATTCAATCACCTACAATCCAACCATGAATTTGTTATTCTTTAATGCCATTTATTTTTGTATCTTACATGAAACTGTTTAGCACTTAATTATTTTCCTTTTTTAATGTGTGTATTTTATCCCAAAGTGGAATTATCATTTTATGGGATTATAAATTCCTTGAGGTTGAAAAATACGCCTTTTAACCATGATACCTAGCAATTAATGAGCTTTTATTCTATTTTAAGTGCTTTATCTATATCAACTCATTTAATACTTACAATTGCCCTGTGATATATAGACCATTCTTATCCCTGTTTTGCTGACTTGAAAACTGAGGCACAAAGAAACTAAGTAACTTGCCCATTGTCAGGCAGTTAGTAAGGATCAGAACTAAGATTCAAATCTATGCAGTCTGACTCCAGAGCTCAATTTCTTGATTTTTTATGCTATCCTGGTGAACCATGTTATACCTTCAAAATAAGAACTAGAAGCAAGGGTTTTTTCAATGATTTATTTGTTTATTTTACAAAATACATTTAAATAACCTAAAGGCTTAATTTGTTTAGCTACATGAACACATGAACCATGAGCTAAAGCCTATGATTTTATTTGTAAGAACATCTTAAAATATTGTATACTATCCTAGAACATTGACATTAGAAGGACTTTAATGTTTATAATTTCTAATGGCTATATAATATACTGTGACATTACCATGCCACAGTCTTCACATACATTCCTTTGGTCTCTAACAGTCCTTTGAAATCACACCAACTATCCAAGTTTATTTTCATTATACACTTGGCTTTTTTTTAATTTTGTTCAGCTAATATAGGTCTGTATCTAAAACATAATTTCAAATATTAAAGCAATGTTTTGTATTTTGTTCTCAGAATAAACATAAAAGGTTTTGTATACTCATCTCAGACTCCAAACTTTGGGGTTTTTTTGGTTGTCAAAATCACCTGGCTTTCACTCTAAAGATATTTCATTTCTAATTGATTTCTAAATGGCCTTTTGAGATAAATATATACCTCAATATCTAACTTTTACTAACCCTTTAATAACTCCAGCAGTAAAAAATTTTTAGGAACTTTAAAGATGAGATTAGGTTTTAGAGCGTTGTAAATTTGTCAGCCCTTTTTAGTAAGTACTGCACTGGAGGAAGGAAAAGAAGCTCACTTATTCTATTCATCTCCATGTGCACATCCTGGGTTAGATTGCCTCACTCCAATATTTAAATAGCAACATGGGAGAGAGCTTGGGAAGATGGCAGAGTAGGAGTATCCTAAGCTTACCTCATCCCATGGAGAAACATAAATAACAGCCACATCAGTGAAACTAACCCAGAAAATTACCCAAAGACTAGAAGAATATACTGTCCACAGTTAGTTGTAGAGAGCAAGCAACAGCAAAAAATGGTAGGAAAGTCAGAGACCCAGTTAGAACTTCTAAACTTCAAACTTCTGGTGAGGCTAACCACAAATGGAAGGGATACCACAAACACAAAGAAGGAAGAGAAAAAGACCCCAAATCAGGCACCCGAGACATGAGGAGCTGCAATGGGAAGACAAGTCCACATAATACTTGGTTTTGTAAACCAATGGAGCTTAACTTCATGAGTTGTTATAATCAGTGGAGCTTAACTTTAGGTATTTTAAAAAACAGCAAGCTTAGGCTCTGAGAAAGCTGGATGATAGGAAAATGAATCCCCACCCTTAAAAAAAAACAGCATGATAAACAATTCTGGCAAGATTCAGTACAGAATCAGCAGAGTGAAAAACACCTGAGTATATGGAACGGAGATTTATTTACTAACTGAGAACTTGCACTGGAGGGACAAGAATCTTTAGAAGATTTAACCAAGAACAAAATAGCTGGTAGGCACCATTTCTGTAACCTACCCTCCAACCTACATACCCAGATACCTGCAGGAACCAGCATAATCACTTACCACATAGCTTGCTAACACTGAGCTCACTACACCGATGGTCTCCCACAGACTTGCCCCACCAAACCCAATCCACTTGCAGGAGTTCCTCCAAAGTGACTCTGGCCAGCTATTATTCTATATACCCCAACATTAATTAGTACCACTCCAAAGTGATGCTTGCCCTGAAAAAAGGGGGAAGATAAACACCTACATGAGTTCAAATGTAGCCCCAGTAGTGATCTAGAAACAGATTTCTGAACTGACTGCAGGCCCTGCCCACCAACATAAACTTCACAGAAAGAAGCATAAAGAGAGAGCTCTGTAGTTTAAGGTCACTGAAAACTCCACAAATGGACTGCAGGCAGACCTCTGGTCTGACAGCAGGAACTGGCCACCAAGAAAAGCCCTCAGGGGCCAACACAGCAATTGTACCCTGAAGTTCAGTGTGACCCAAGCCTCAGCAAATGGGCTGAGGGC